CTTCTTTACAACAAGAACCTGGGGCACGCATATTTGCTTCTATTCGTGAGAAATCCTGCTATGTACGTCTGTTTAAAATCAATAATACTGCTGAAGTGTACTCATCCTCAAACCCCAAACACTAGTCTACTTAGATAGCTACCGCAACTGATAACCAAACGCTTATAGTAGGCAACAATTATTGCAAACTGTGTGTGCAAATATCGTAGTTCATGCTTTTAGGTAGGGGTTAGTGTCAACGTTGGGTTTGTGGTTAACGGTTTTATGTTCAGCTTTAAGGGTAAGTTTGCGGTTAGGTTGAGATTGAGGTTGAAATTGAGGTTTAATGTTTAAGCCCAGCATAAGCCATGTATTGATAATTAATTCAGTGAGTGAAGTAATGCCATGCTTATCGGGTTTGACCATGAACAGCTCTCGAAGGCCCGCCTATCAGCTTCTTACGACCTCGCAGTAACTGTTTTGTCCCTTCTCTCTTTGCTGAGTTCGTATTTTTTTTCATTTTAATTTGATTTTACATCTTCTTTTGGTTCTGTTTTTATAATTAAATCTTTCTATACCTTTTGGGTGTGTTGATTCGTATTTTGTTTTGCCACTTACATGAGCCAGGGCTCATCAGCCAGTCCGACTTTTGCGTATTTTGAATTACGCACCCGAATTTTCACTACCCGTTTATATACATAAAATGGTTAATAGTGTAAATGTAATTTTTCGCATTTCTCCTTCGCTGTTTTCATTTCACTCATAAAAACCCTTTAACACCACCCGCATATTACAAGTGTCCTTGCCCCAAAAACGGTACCATTCCTGAAGTCATTCCCATAATCTGTTAAACTTGTTTTTCGACTACTTCACGGCAGGCTGAGTTTTACCAAGAAAACCCGTAATTTTTTCTGTTTTTCAACTTTTCAAATTAACTGACAAAGCCTGACGTTTCGAGATCGATCGCGGATTCATCATCAGAGACAAAAGCAGAAAGCAGTAGCAGACAAGGGCCAATATAAATCAGCCCATCGTCTTCTTCTGAATGCGTGTTTAGTCTAATTGCCTGGGAGGAGACGTAACCATTAGTCCGAAGTGGCTATTCATTGCCTTGACACAGGACACACGTTTGCATGGGAAAAAACACGCATCATCAGCGTTTGCTCCACAAAAAAGGCCGAGAATGTCTTGAGGCTATGCATTCCGATGATTCATGCCTCAACCGACGTACCGAGTTAGATGAAGAGAACAAGCATCTCAAAGAAAGATGAAATAGACTACAGCCGACCACCGCGAACCAATGTGAGACGCAATTAGCGTCTACACCAGATGACAAGGACTGACCCTGGACCGACGCAAATTAAATTTTCCAATAAGTCACTATGCTATTGCGGTTAATACTACTAATAGTGTCTGCCACGTAGTGACGCAATTTTCAGCTGCCATTTAGTGCCTACACTTGACAACTATATAACTGTACCAGCACTTTTGAAATGTTAATTTTAGTTGCGCAGGTTCTCAAGTCTGACGATGACCTGGAGGTCCAGTGTCGCAAGTTCACTCAATAACATTTCCTCATTTTCCCAAGGAACGCTTTTTCTCGAAATTACATTATTTAAAATGCCTGCCCTCCAAGTTATAAGAAACGTCGGACAAATAAACTCCTGGTCCCAGAGAAAGTTCTACCTTCTTCTGTAATAAACAATTAAATAACTTGTCAACTATTTCCCTATGCACACAATCTGCCGCCAAAGACCTCCCAATATCTAAACATTTCAAGAAAACTACTCGATTAAAATGATGATGAAGTAAAATAAGTACTATAGACAATGTGAGACTAAAAAAAGGTTTATAATTAAACCAGGTACTAAAAAAGCCGGGACCTACCTTCTGGAACGCCATTATCTTCGCCTGCTTTCTGTGTATGGCCTACACATTCCGACAGTTCCTCTACACTAAAGGGTGTGTTGCCCAAAAAAGTGAAGGCCAATTCGTCAGAAAATGCGACTTGAGAAAAGCATTTTCAGGGCAAACAAAAAACTCACAAGCACAGGCAGGTGTGTGCTTTCCAAATTCTACAATATTCCCTACACGTTAACTGGCTCGGTAATCATGCAGACAGATCAGCATTTCTACATCATGCATCCGGGCAACAAAAAATATATTATACTACTCTTAATAAGAGAGTAGTCATGTTGTATCTTCACCCGCAACGTGATATTGACGTACCTTTTATATTTTTTGTATGCATATATTTCATATCATCTTGTTACAAAAAGAGAGTTCAAAGGCGTTTACCTATCTTCCACTTAATAAACTGATAATGAAGTATCGCGCAATTAAATGGAATCATGAAACTTAGCGAGCACACGTCAGCTGCTGCTTCTCGCTGCATAACACTAGGAACGTGTGAGAATATACAAAGGGATACATTTGAAATGAACATAAACGATGAAAAACAACAAGGTCATTGTTAATTACCACGGAGGCGAATCAATAATGATAGCAACTAAGAACACTCTGTGGGAAGCAAAAGTGGGCAAAAACCTTTTAAGGCAAAAAAGAGAGGAAAAAAGAGGGAAATTTGTAAATCTAGGAACCGGAATGTACCAAGGTTCAAATCTCGCCTAAATAAACAGATGGAGTGTGTTGATCACCTAACTTTGACTAGAAAACATCCAGCTTCCTGATTTTCACACTGCCCTCCCCCCTTTTTGCTTCAAAGGATTTTTCTACAGTTTTGTTTCTGACGGTGTATTTTAAGTTGCTAACATTATGGATTAGCGTATGTTGCAATTTACTATGAGCTTGTTCTTTTCCATCATTTCTTTTCTGTTCAGATTCAATCGTTTGTTACCCACCCGTCTCTACTCTTATGCATTAAGACGCAACAGCTGACAAACCCTCGTTGAATTTATTGGTTCCAGTAAATTTTAGAATACTTGCGTGCTTTAAGTTTGAACCAGGGAAAAATGCAAATGTTAGCATTTACAAAAACTACACTTATTAACAAGAAATGACTGTTAGACACATTTTTGACAGTAAACGGCATGCGCTCCCAACAGTAAACACGTTACTCACCATCAGGTCGGTATGCCCGCGCCCTTGAACTGCATACGTGCGGAAGCATTGAGGAGTTACTAACAGACAGTGTTACTTAATTTAATTAAGTAGAAAATATGTATTACGTTAATATTGACACTCACGTAGTTTGGATGCTCTTCAGACGTCCTTCTACAGATTCGTGTGTTGAATTTTCTTCCTCCTCGGCTATTTTCAGGACTGCCCAGCGTTGCATGTACTCCACCTCCTGATCAATTTCCTGTATGGTCTCTATAGCAGAGGCAAATATGAAACATTATTTTTTTCAGTCTGACGTGAACACAAGGAAAAGTAAAGCGTGAGAAGTGCATGTTCGTTGTAGAGGACTTGCCAATTTCTCTCCTTTTCGGTCTCCTGCAAGCACAAATGAGTGCAATGAACAGCTCTACAAGCACCTCGAACAGTAGGAATGGTGGTGGGAGGATTGTCTTTGATCTGTACTCGATCATCAGAGAGTACCTGGTGAATTTCCAAACCTCACGAGAATTGACTTCGACGGAAGAGAAAACATTGCTGAAACCAGAAAAAAAGGTTGAAAGAAACCAACGCTGGACGTTGTTCAATCCTACTGGTAAAGCAAGCTATATATAAATGGGTAATTGTACACCGATCTGTTTCACGATGCACCCATCCTGGTTGATGCCTTTTTGCGGGATATTGCTACCCCTAGCATATGTGTTGCAAGGCGAAATAGTAATGTTACTCGCTAAGTTTTAGTACCAATGTATTACCGACAAAGACAGCGGACATCCACGAAGGCGTCTTCTGGCTTACTTACCGTCGTCAGGTGGTGATACCCCAACTCTAGTGTAGCAATGAAAGTTGCCGCCACACTCGAGTTTCGAACTCGCGTTTCTCCGGCCAGGGCGAACGTTCTAACCATTGAGCCCCTAGTCCGCCGTCTTGTCGGTTTTTGATCGGGACTATATAGTAGTGGGTAACACGGGTGTGGCCGCTAGCCTTAATCTTTCAGGCGTCATTTTTTACTGGGTGCCTATCCTCTGAATAGAAGACAGCGGCGATCACTCCCCTTTTCAAGAGTGGAAGCCGAGCGTCCGCAAATAATAACCGGCCGGCGAGTCTCACCTCCATTTGTTGCAAAACCATTAAAGAAATCATTAAGGGTGCGTTGATGCAGTTCCTCGAGCAGAACCACCTCCTTTTCGATGCCCAAAACGGCTTTCATTGTGGCAAGTCCTGTGTTACGAATCTGATCTTCTCACTTGATCGCTGAACTAAAGCACTGACGAAGGCAAAATGATGCATACCATCAAGATTGACTTAAAAAAAGGCGTTCGACACCGTCCCTCATCGAGGTCTCCTGCATAAACTGCGCAGTGCACGCGTTTGTGGGACCCTATTCCTATGGATCCAACACTTCTTTACACGACGGTCCCAAACAGTACAAGTCGGTCTCTAGCAGTCCTCGAGGGGTACCTGTGGTGAGTGGCGTCCCACAGTGCTCAGTTTTCGGTCCCACAATATTCCTCGTTTTCATCAATGACTGTGTCAGGGACAAAGGCTGTGATGTCACCTTGTTCACCGCCAACATAAAATCATGGAGCGTTTTCTAAAATATGGCAGATGAAGACCATCTGCAAGCTAATTGAACAGATTGGAGTACTGGTCAAAGCGTTGGCTTACGCCTTTCAATAATAGTAAAAACAACTTTCTTCAAATTGGCAGTTGTAGAGCATCCAGCCCGCTGGTTTATTCCTTAAATTGTACACCGCTACAACAACTTGAGAGTCAGAAGGACATGGTTTTGTGGATTACCTCTTTGTCGGTGAAGTCCACCAAATCTACATTACAGTTGATTAGACGAGCATTTATGGGGGTTGAAAAAGACAACTTTTCCAAAATATTTGGAAGTTTCTTTCGACCGCACCTGGAATTCGCCATACATGCATGGAAACCTTGGACTGCCAAATACTGTACCGGCTTAGGAAGGGTCCAGAGACGAGCGAAAAAAATTGTCAAAAGTCCGAGAACACTGCCTCAGCCTATTTCCCCTTTCCTTCAAGGAATTAGGAGGGGATCGCATGTAAACGTTCCGCATTGTGAATGGCCTGGACTATTGTTCTGTTCCCAATGATTTTTCACTCGGATTTAAACGCCTACTTTGCATGCTTAACCCCAGGCAAAGCAGGGATCAGGTAGGATTGTGTCGTGGGGTCGTCTGGGGAAAGTGTGAAGCGCGCCCCGCAGGCATACGAACAAGTGATTTTTAAGGGAGAGTACGGGCGGGGCATGCCAGGGAAGAAATTAGAACCCAATTTGAATGTCCAATAAAAAAGTTACGGGGGCAAGTTGGGGCGCGTATTCAAACCTTGGGAGAAGACACTGAAGGTAGCTTTAATATCATCGCCAACC